ATGATAATGATGACGATGATGTTGATGATGATCATCATCATCATCGTGATGAGGGAACACGGCAATGACGGCTTGATCTGATTTGAGGATACGGGCCTGCCATCCGATCGCTTTGCCCTCATGACATCGGAGCTGTGTCGTGCTGATACGTTTGCATGCCGCGCTTGTTCCACATTCTCTGCGTGCATGCTGCATCCGGTTTCGATTTGTCAAGCAGTCCTTCTTGCAAATGTGATATGCGCACACAAACAACAGGAACCACACCGGGTTTAACCGCTGGATCGACTTGAAGACTGCCGCTCGGGGCCCACACGCTCTGGATCTTATGCAAAAGCAAGAACCCGAGAAACGGAGAGCACTCTAGACAACATTCGCTCGCGTGAGGTTTATAGAGTCTAGAATATCGGCAAGTGAAGGGTTACGCTTGTAGAGGCCGTCTTGTACAATCGGAAACCGGCAACCCAAGCAACAACTGTACAAATGGGTCTGGGTAGCATGAGGGAGAACCTGTACTAAACCTTAACCCTCCCTCGAAACATCTCAAAACCCCAGACCCTGAAGCCCTAAATCCTGCCTGCTTCGCCGTGTCGTGGAGCTTTGCCACTTCGACGGCCAGGCGCTGCTGCTCGTGCCCACAGCCTGGGAGCGAAAGTAGGTTTGGACTCCGGGTTGAGGTGTGTGTGTATATATATATATATATAATAGCACAGAATTTAACATAATATGATAATGTTATAAGATATAACCTGAAATGAAATAATATGATATAAGACCGTAAAATACAAAATAAAATCTAGGGAAGATAGGGCTCTGAGAGGCTGCATGGTCTGGGCGAATCCCTGAGCCTGTAGCCCAACCAAACCGAACAAATCTAAGCCCTAAGCCCTAAATACTATATCTACCCTTACATGGGGTTTAGGGTTTAGGGCTTCGGGCCTTAATAAATACTATATACCCTTAGGGTTCAGGGTTTGGGGCCTGTATGGATTTCTACAATAACGGGCCCCAAGAACCTGCTCCAAGTACTCAGGCCCTGCACCGGAGAAGTCTCGACACCCCCAACACTTCGGCTCGGGACTCCTGGGCGTGCGTAGTACCCATACCAAACATCCTATACCCGAGGGTTGAGGCTGTTTTTGGGTTTAGGGTTATTTAGGGTTTAGGCATACTCTAAAGCCTAACCCCAAAACCCCCAAAACCCTAAACCCCTAAACCCCCTAAACCCCTAAAGCCACACACAAAAAAAAACAACGACAAAAACGCCACGGCCGGGGCCCCCGGCCCAAGATGCTGCTGGTCATCCCAGCGACCTGACTCTCAAGTGCCCGGTGGCCCTCGCCAAAGGAGAAGACCCGCTCCTCGCAGCGTTCTTGAGGGGTTTGGGCGTTTAGGGTTTAGGGTTTAGGGGTTTCGGGTTTAGGGATCTTTTTTTTGTCTTGTTCCTTCTGGGCTGTTTTTCAGTTTTATGAAGGTCTATTCTGGGTCTCTATTCTATGAGGTATTCAACAATTTGCCTGAGGGATCTTGTGAGGAACATCTTATAAGCCTACGGTTCAGGTCCTTGTTGCGAGGCTTTGTAGACAAGTGCAGTGGGCTGTTATGGGTGTTATCGGGTGTATCGATTTCTCGTTGTCAGGCCTTTGCGAAGATTTATAGGACCTCTCAGAACCCAAATCTTCAATCGCCGGCTACTCGGACAGTGTTCCTGTGAGCCTTCGAGCAAAGCTTGCGCTTTGAACATGTGTTCCAGTCTCAGCCCCATGGTCAGCACTCTCACGAGCATAAGCAGCAGCAGCTGGAAACAAACAATCAACAAAATTCATGTTAATTGGCCTCGTCATAAGGATCAGATACATCTAGATACGGTTTAGTGGCTGTTCGGGGACTGCAACTTTGGAGTGTAACAACTGCCCCAGTACCACCTGTTTGACAGCAAAAGCAGCTTCAATTCAACACCACTGCGCGTGTTACAGCGTGCCATTTCTAGCTAATAGCACTAGTCCTGCCATTACTTCTGTTGCTATCACTATTGCTGCTACCAGTACTATCTATACGACTGATATCATGTTGTGAGTGGAATTCGTTGTTGGCGAAGAGTGGCATCGCTCAGATCGCACAAGCTCTCGGGACTGCACCATGGAAACTGAAACCCTAAACCCTACATGCTTTGAGCAGCCAGACCCAGGTAAACCCCGGAATCCAGAAGCTTCAAATTCCAACAGCAATTCGGCCCCTGTCACATGGCGTTCGTTATTAACGTAATTACGTATTTGAATAGGGTTCCTGTAAGGGTCTCTACCGCTTGAGACCTAGGGTTTTAGGTCCTCCATGGATGTGAGACTGCGGGTGGTGAGGGCCTGCGCCGCATGGATGGCAGAAGTCATGTCTGACCTCTGGCGTGGGACCAGCGGTGCCAACTAATAACAGTAACGACAGTTGATGATATGAATCCTGCATTGCCAATAATCAGGAATTTACCACACTTCCCGTAGTTTAGGGTTAACGGCTAAGGTAATGCAGGGTCTGTATCATCAACAGTAATAGGCCGGTGAAAGGATAGAACGGGTTACGCAGCTGCTCGGAGCTCACTTCAAATGACCTTTTTCACCTTCTTTGCCACCATGCAGGGCGTGGGCACCGAGCTACAACACAAGAAGGAGAGTTAAAGGAAACTACAGTTGGGGAGTTCAGGGTATATTTATATAGGGCTTCTATAAAGCTTCATCCATAAGGTAAATAGACCTTCTATAAGGCTCCTATAACAGCAACTACCTACCTGAACATGTCCTAGAGAGAGTAGCCCCTCCAAGCTAATATGTGTGAACACCCGCAGTCGCATGCCCGAAACCAAACTCGGACGGCGGGCCCGGTATTGTCATACGCTCGCTGCATTAGGGTTTAGGGTTTAGGGTTTAGGGAGTTCTAGGCGGAACTTGTGACTGCGGAAAACGCGAAAGCTACACCCGAAGCGAAACCTAAGCCTGAAATCCTCAACACCAACAGCCCTGAAGCTTAGAGCCCAACTGCTAAAGTCTCAAACCTATAATGAAACTCTTGACCTAAACTTGAAAGACTAAACGCTGAACCCAGTACAATCTACGCTCTAAACCGTAACAACATGAAACACCCTGATCAAACCCCTATCAAGCCTCTCTACAGCACTTTGACGAACCCTTCTAGGCACCCTTATCGTAAGCTCACAAACCCTATAACCTCCGAACCCAACCATCCCTAAACCCTCAACCCTGCAACATCCAACCCGAAAAAAGCCTTAAACCCTAAACCCTAAAACCCTAAAGCCCTAAAACCCTAAACCCTGAACCCGGCCTAAACCCTAAACCCTAAAACCCTAACCCTAAAACCCTAAACCCTAAAACCCTAAACCCGAAACCCTAAAACCCTAACCCTGAAACCCTAAACCCTAAAGCCTAAACCCTAAACCCTAAAACCCTAAACCCGAAACCCCTAACCCTAAAACCCTAACCCTAAAACCCTAAACCCTAAAACTCTAAACCCTAAACCCTAAAACCCTAAAACCCTAAACCCTAAAACCCTAACCCTAAAGCATAAACCCTAAAACCCTAAACCCTAAACCCTAAAACCCTAACCCTAAAACCCTAACCCTAAAACCCTAAACCCTAAAAGCCTAAACCCTAAAACCTAAAAAAAAAACAAAAACCCAACCGCGAAAACCGAAGCCAGAGCCGGGCCTCAGGTGCACAGCGAGCTCGTGCCAGTCTTCCGCCGTGGCGGAGTGGCGATGCCGCTCGAAGCTGGCCTCTAAGGGGTTTTAGGGGTTTTGGGGTTTTGGGGCTTAGGGTTTTTGGGCTTAAGGGTTTTAGAGTTTAGGGGTTGAGGGTTTTGGGGTTCAGGGGTTTGGGTTTGAGGGTTTTAGGGTTTCGGATTTAGGGGTTTAGGGTTTGGGGTTCAGGGTATTAGGGTTTAGGGGTTAAGGGGTTTGGGGTTTCAGGGTTCAGGGCTTTAGGGTTTAGGGGCTTAGGGTCCCGGTGTAGGCAGTTTATAGTAGAAGCCTCAAATTTGGAAACCCAATAGCCTCAATCCTTAGGAGTCATGTATAAGGAATGACAGCACGAGTTGTCCTTAATCCGGTTTCCAACTTGTTGGGGTTTTCCTACAGGGTTTGGGGTTTGTTGCGATTTCGATAAGCAGTGACTTGAGATTGGGCGACTGGGAGCTGACCTCGGTACCTTTCTCGACATACACCTGAGACTCTGCGAGATGGGCACTTGGACCCTGAGCTTACGGAAGGTATACTAAGCCCTAAACCCTAGACCCTAAACCCCTATATACCCTAAACCCTAAACCCTAAACCCTAAACCCTAAACCCTAAACCCTAGACCCTAAACCCCTATATCCCCTAAACGTATTGGGATTTGTGCAGGCGTTAGGGTTTCAGAGTCCAGTGCTATCTATCACCCGGACGCCGAATCCCCAACAGCAAGACTCCCAAAAGCAGCACAGCGTTCCTAAACCCTAAACCCTAAACCCGAAGCCCAAAACCCTAACCCTGAAACCGAGACCCCAAACCATGAACCCCTAAACCCGAAACCCTAAACCCCTAAACCCTAAACCCGAAGCCCTGAAACCGAGACCCCCTCTGCCTCCAGCTTGCAAAGGCGTCCCTCAACGTTGCCGTCGCTCCGCTGCTCCGGACTTGGCAGCCCCGCCTGAGCACTCACCTTCCACAGGCTGCTTTCCCCTAATACCCTAAACCTGAACCCTAAACCCTAAAGGCCCTGTAACACCCTAAACCCTCAACCCTAAACCCTAAACCCTAAATCTGTACCCTGTACCCTAAACCCTGAACCCTAAACCTTAAACCCTGAACCCGAAACCCTAAACGGCCTAAAGCCTTTCGGGTTCTAGTGTTTCGGCGTTCGGGCCCAGGGCTTAGATGCCTAGGGCTTCGGGTTTAGCACTTCGGGCCTAGGGTTCGTTTGTGAAAAACTCGGGTGCCGGAGTGTGTCCTATGGGTTGCGGCTTGAAGATCTGTTTAGTGTTTAGGGTTTAGGGGTTTCGGGTTTAGGGTCATTGCCAGCCGATCGCGGGGATTGCTGAGTGCCGATAGGTGTCGTGGGAGTCAGTCGGTATGGCATGCGGTTAGGGGTGCTTAATGCGAGCACATTACTCACGCCCCAATGCTATCGAGTGGGTCGTACTTGAAGGTACATCCTGAACCAACGGTGCCAACGACCGTGCGACAAGAGCATAATACGCAAAGCTCTGAACGTGCACGAAATCAACACCGACAAATAGGTTTAGCAACACCTGGTACGATCAAATTCACGAGGCACCCCGCTCCTTTTGGAAAGCTTCTGCTTCCAAAACCCTTCAGAGAGCTTTCAAGGAATCGCTATTCTATGAAACCTAAAAGCATGCCCGATTAACTGAAATCCCAACAGCCTAGACCCCAAAACCACCTTAACAACGCCTCAAGAAAACCCCTCAAAGTCTTCTCAAGCCCTGAGCCCTGGGCCCAACCTTGTAGAAACCCGTTTAGAAACATTTTTGAGCCCTCACAAAATCTTCAAGAGTCACCGAAAACAATGCAAAAACCATGTTCGAACCGTTCCAGCGCTCTTGAAACGAAACTCTAGACCCACAACCTAAAACCCTAAGCCCAAACCCAATAGTTTAACAGCATACACCTAAAACCCGAAACCTAGGCCTGTACATGCACCCTGAGCCCACGCTAAACCCTAAATCCTAAATCCT